TGTGTTTTCCTAGGTGTGTCTGACTCTCACTGCCAAGCGAATGGCCAAGAAGAACTGCCTGGTGAAGAACCTGGAGGCCGTAGAGACTCTGGGCTCCACCTCCACCATCTGCTCCGACAAGACGGGCACGTTGACCCAGAACCGCATGACCGTGGCCCACATGTGGTTCGACAACCAGATCCACGAGGCGGACACCACTGAGGACCAGACGGGTGAGACAGGGAGAGGGGGAGGCATGAAAGGAGAGGGAGGAGCAGGCACGTGCAGAGGATGTGAGAGGAGCACTGTGGTGGAAATATCTCATAGAAATAAAGACTCAAGTTAAAGGTCCCCTATCATACTGTTTTTCATCAATATATTATAGCTCTCAGATATACACAGAGCCTGTCTCTGATTGGCTGAAACACCAAACAGATCATTGCAGCATTACCCATAATCCCCTCTGTTTCAGCCCTGTTTCCAAAGTGCTGATTCTCTGTCTGTTACTTTAGATGAAAATAAGGAGCCCCTCCCCACGCCCCTCTGAGCGAGATTTGGTTAAAGAGAACTCAATGGTGCTCTAGGAGGAGATTCAGGTGATACGGGGGGGGGGCTACCTTAGGTTGCTGATTGGCTAATGGTTACACAAGCCAAAACATCGTTATGACATCATAAAGTGGCCAAAATCTGATCAGCTCATTTTCAGACAGGTTTTTATAGAAATGGATCAGGACAAAAAGAGAGAGAATCTTTGTTCCTGAAACTTTCAGAGTCTCTTTCCACAGAGGGGACACATGTTGATGTAGAAGAGACATGAACAAGTGGATTTTGCGTAATAGGTGGCCTTTAAGAGATTGTCTTTGAATATTTAATAAGCTCTTCTGCGCAGAAAACGATCCAAACATTACAGGCACATGTTCACGGCAAGAGTCTGCAAAGTCTGAATGAAGATGCTCGTGTTGTATCTCTAAGTTGGAGCCGTTGAAAACACCTGCGTCCTTGAGACTGCAACAACCTGGTGCTAAAACAACTCTCTATGTGGTTATACAGAGCCACACAGTTAGTTCTAAATTAAAACACATCATGGTGTTATGTGGGAAAGAAGGATTCAGTATTTTCCCACTCAAGTGAAAGATACTTGAATAAGTATTAAGTAAATAGTATGTATATTAAAATGTCCAATATAGCACAAATGAATACAATTGCAGCTGGAAATTCTTGTTACTTTGAAATGAATGTATGCGTGGGATTTTATGGCAGTTCTAAGGGATATTAAAATGTATGTATTTTAAACCAAACCCATGTTGTTGGTTCAAACACTGACAGTTAATTCATGAAACATGCAAAGAAATAAAGTATATTTCGGTAATTTCTTCTCACGTTGGACCTAGCCCAATCGTAACCTAGCCCTCTGACAAAGATGAACTTCCTTTCTCGCCTCAATGTGTGTGTTCCCAAGTGCCCCATAAAGACGTCAGGCACAATGCTTCAGTAATGACGAGAAGCTGCTGATAGTGTACGGCTAAGATACAACTACTATGTGCTGCCAAATATTTAGTTTATTAAATAGCACATATCATGAATAAGGTGTACTCGACACAAGCTATTGTTTAATGTAAGATAAAGAACCCTTTGAGATCTATCTGTGCCTAGGGAGAAGGGAGGGAAAGAGATAGCTGGAAGGAAAGTTGGAGAGTGTGTGGGAATACAGAGCGGGAAGGAATGACCACCTGCTGAAATGCATCTCTCCAATGTTCACGCCGCCAACAGACAGCTCTGTTTGCTCTAGCGCTTGGATTAATTGAGCAGCGGTATGCAGTGGGCGGCACAACCATCAGCTACAGTACAAACATGTCTTCTGCCAGAGTTGCCGTGGAACCAATCCGAATCCTGTCTCAGCGGCAACCCGTGCCACATTTCAAAGGATGTTTTAGCAATAAGCAAAAGGTCTGGAAGAAACCGAAACAGGTGTATGCATACCAATGAGTATTGAGTGGGCGAATGTGGAATCATACAATAAATAGCTTCTGTTGTAGTGCTGATGAAGGTTGCTCCGCTGAAACAAGTGTGGAAAGAACAGTGTGTTCACTTTCCAGGAGCAGGGATTATTTGTTGCAGGTTTTGGATTCTTTCGCACCTGGCTTTGCCAAATTCAACAACTCTCGCCACTTGTGCTGATGTTGCCTGATACTATCATATTCTGTTTACACACTAAGAGTGACAGTGACCACTCCAGAGAGTCAGGGCAAGAATACAACTGGAACCCAGCGGAGTGAAGGTCAGGTTCAGATTGGCTGGGAGGAGAGATGAAATGTTCATAGTCCAAACAGCTTTTTATTTTTCGACACATTCCGGTTAAAAATGTATGCCATTTTTCAGACTGGGGATTTTGTCGAGGAATAATTGATTGCTCAACTTTCTGTTATTTAGCTTCAATATCCAGTGCTGTGTGAAACCAAGGGTTAAGTCAGTACAGTAGCTACTGCACGAGTCCTCCTTGAAACACAGTCTAACACAACTCCTTCTATTCTCTCAGGTTTAGGATTTGACAAGAGCTCTGCTACTTGGGTTGCTCTGTCTCGCGTGGCCGGGCTATGCAACAGAGCGGATTTCAAAGCCGGACAGGAGAACTTCCCCATCCTGATGGTATGAACCTCCACCCTACACACACACTCAGCAGCTTTCCAAACCTTCGCATCAATGATTCAGTCTCATGAATGATCTGCACTCTCTTAAGCAGGAGGTTATAACAGGTTTCATTTGATCTAAGGACATTTTAAGTAGACCATTTTGGGATTGGGATCAAATCATGCATGCACATTATTCATAAGGAAGGATTTCCCTTACACGGTAAGGGGAGGTTAACAACATCAGGAGAGTGTTAGGGAAGCTGTCACTCAAGAATAATCAGAGTTGATATTTGAATGTTTTAAATTACCCACAAAATGACCATTTGTACATGAAATGACTTCCATGTCACCTTGAACATTTGTGGACATGTTCTTGGCATGCCTCAATGGTAAACAAAGAAGTACTTTGTGCTGCGTTTAACATCAGCAAAAACGTATAAAGCAGATTTAAAATTGTATAAACTGAGCAAATGGGTTTGTAATCAACATCATAATCCGAGACGTAACGTATTTGATACGTTTTTAGTAGAAGTACACTATTTCTGAAATATTTATAGCAATTTTTTTACACACATTTATGCAAAAACCTCTGAGTACTGAGTTGCTCACAAGAACAAGCAAATAATACAGTAGGTCTGCAATGCCTTATATTTGATATATGATAAGCATAACATACAATATGGCCCTCTTAAATATTGTGTCGCAAAGGTACAGCTAAGTATCACATGGATGTTCTTAAGTCAAGTTTAAGTACTTGAACTTTTAGTAAATGTACTTTGCCATGGGGCCGGACAATTTCCACACACCAGGCACCCGCAGCGGAAAAAACAACCCATAAAAACGATTTGTCAATACCACTTGTCACTGGTGCATGACACACACACAGGTACACACACACACACACACACACACACACACACACACACACACACACACACACACACACACACAGGCACACACACACATTCAGGCACACACAAACACACAGACAGAATAATCCGGTACACCCCTGGAAATAACTCCCCCACACTGACACACTGACACACACACCGCTGGGTGGGTAAGTCAATAATATCCCAGAGTTCTTCCGACCGCTACCCTCCAACCTGTGCTACATTGACCTGAAGAAATTCTCAGTGTGGCTCTCACACACTCTGCAGCCTCTCCCCTCCAGGTGCCAGGCCTCCTCCCTGCATTAAGTCACAGCCATATCTCCTGACAGCACTCAAACACAGCAGTCAAGGCCCAGGCCAGACTGCCGTTACAGGAACAAGTCCATATCTGCACCGGGGAAAACACAAATGGAATTTCCATGATCTATTTATTCATTCATGGAAAGGCACAAACAAGGACAAATCTAGCTGAGCGCGTGTCCTTGTTTAGCGGCTGTTCATGAATGAGTAAACAGGAATAAAGAGAAATGTCTTGTCTCGTTTCGGCCCCTGTTGGTGTATTGGCTGTAAGGTCATTCAGCTCAGCATGGATTTTAATAAATTGGCTGCGGGGAAATTGCAGTGATCCTCGTGGAATTCTATCAAAAGGGGTTTTCACATTATCAGAAGATAATTGTTCCTTAAATGATTCAAGCACCAGCCAAGCATTTTTGTCAAGTCGCTACACCTGAAAATAAACCCAGAAAAAGCTAATGTAGAGCGTCGTGCCTCCAAACAGCGGAGAAAACACTTCTGAGCCTAGTTTTTGTCTTAATTTGCAAATGTTGAAATGTCACCTCTGCTGCTAAAAACAAATCCAATTGTTAGTATTTTCTTAAACAGAAAAATGTGTTTTTAATACCTTGGAGCCAAAATATTTCCATCCTTAGCAGCCAATTTGCTGTGGATATTTACCAATGCTGTTTAAGGTGTTGCAGAAATATTTATTCCAACATTGTTCTAAATTAGTTTTAAGATATTTATATATATTCAGGGCCTGTTACATCTTCATTTTAAAATGTCCCTAAGAAAGATAGCAAACGTCCTACACGGCAAACTACTCCAGCTATTTCCTTCCTGAAAACATTGAGCTGCTTTAATCAAATTGGTCTTCATCCCATAAACTCAAAAGAATAAAACCAGGATTCTCACTTTCATTACTTCTACATTAAGCTGTTACATAACTTTGTAAAAAACGTGGCCCTGCAATGATGGTGCAGACGATGCTCAGCTTCCTGCATCTTTAATGAGAACTATAATGGAAGACGAAGAAGTCATCTCAGGTACCGATTTAATCAGTTCAAGTTCCCTTCCAATGCAGCGAGACAAACACTGGCAGGCAGACAGACAACACTCATTTCTTCATATGAATATGTGAGTGAGTGTGCTAATGTGCGGCTGTGTGTGTTTCCCCAGAGGGAGACAGCGGGGGACGCTTCAGAGTCCGCTCTGTTCAAATGCATCGAGCTGTGCTGTGGGAGTGTTCGTGAGATGAGAGCCAGAAACGCCAAAGTGGCCGAGATCCCGTTCAACTCCACCAACAAATACCAGGTACGGCACGGGACTGATGTTCACAAACTCACCGTCACTAACAATTTAGCAAATACAAATATTTAATTTCATTATTTTCTAGGGATGATAGAATATTATTTAAACTTTGCTCAAAAATACTTAATTGATTTCTTATAATTATTCTATATTTTTTTTTATACGATTAATTTAGTAATTCAAGATTTAATAAAATAAGAAATATGTTCAAATTATTTCTCACAATTAATTCTTTATAATTTTGTTTACAAATCTTATTTTATTAAACTTAACAATGTCTATGTACATTTTTATTTTTTCATAAATAAATTAAATGTATTTTTTATAATCACTTGTATTTATTTTCTTTCAAATCTTTTTGTATTTATACATTTGTATTTTTTCATGAATACTTTTCATTTATTTCCAATTATTATCTCTACATTATTTAATAATTTTTTTTTTTTATTAAATTAAATTTTTCATTTTTTAAATATACTGTGTCAGTGCTCTTTCATCTCACAATATAAGATAAGCATTTCCAAGTATTGGAAAGGATTTCTGGGTGAATCATGCATATTCATTTTTTAACCTTTTTATTCCATGTTCAGAGAGGCAGCCTGAACATGCTTGCTCCTTTTCAGCGACAGCCTGCTTCACATTCATACTGTTGCACACATTTAGGCTTGGAAGCTGCCCAACAGGCCGCGAGCACAACACTGTGATCCACAGAGGAGCTGCTGTAATGTTTCCATGTGTATGACGGAAAGAATACACGGGGATTAGAAACTGGTTGTTTTTGGAGGCTCAGAGGTTTCGTTGCTACAGAAAACCCCTCTGGTCTGGTCACAGCCTAAAGACCTTTGGGTTAGGGGAGAGGACCTAGTGGGTGATACACTAAATCACTTTAAATGCATTCAAATACTTTAAATGTCACACTTCAAGAATAAGGATCTTTATGTGATTCCCAATAGTTGTTCATTTCAGAACTAGCAACTGTCATCTGCTTCATTTCTCATGGCGTGAGACAAAAACACCCGTTGGTTTTATCTCCCCTTAAAAAAGTCATTCTTAATGAAAAGTTATAATGTTTTTAAAGCTCTGAGTGAGAAGGAAATGTCCTGCATTTATCCCACAACAGGGACATTTGCATTGTTAAGCAAAGAGACAGTGCCGATAAAAAGGCAAATACACACATTTAATAAACAGCAAAAATAAATAAATCAATAAAGAATAGTAATAACAAATAATATTTAAGATAATGAATAAATAAGTGTCAGTACTGTTCATTGTAAGGACAATAATACAATTAACTGTTTTTTTCCAGTTGGTTTTATAGTTTTTGGCTAAATGTACACAAAGAATAAGCACTCCTGAATGGTCTGCTCTTATTGGTTAGCTGGCCGGCTCTGTTGTGATTGGTCAACCCTCTGGAGGGAACACTTAACATGCACACACATATATACTGTATAACACACTTCAGGAAAGGGAAACCCCCAATACGCAAAATAGGGCCCCTTTAAGTTCAGCTGCATGCGTTAGCACATCCTGTACGAGTCCAGCACATTATCAGAAATCACAACTTAATACTGAACCATGAAGAAGTCATCACACAGAGCTTTAACAACTTGCTCAAGGGCAATGCAGCAATTAAGACAGGGGGAATGTTTCTGCTCTCCTCTCGGATTCTGTCAGGAGACTTGCACAGGAATATGAATAACCCAACAGAGATGTTGAAGCAAACAAAGGACTTCCTGCATGCTTTCTGTGCACCTGTTCCCCGACTTAAAACAGGAACATTTGTGTCGAGAGGGAAAAAAAAGCAATTTTGCTCTGGTTTTCTGAGATTAGACATGCTGTGGCTAAGATACAAATTACCTGGGGGGTGGTGTGTGTGTGTGTGTGTGTGTGTGTGTGTGTGTGTGTGTGTGTGTGTGTGTGTGTGTGTGTGTGTGTGTGTGGGGGAGGGGTGATGCAAGGTGTAGTACCACAGGAATACATTTGAGTGTGTGAATGAATGCTCCTTCAACATGGGGAATACATAGGACTCACAATGTGCACTCAGTCAAGTCAGCTCCGATAAGACTTTTTTTCTCAAACCACTCGAAAAAAGGAATGACTGGAGAAATGATTGCTGGTATACGACCGTGAAATTCATTGTTGAGCGTTACAAAGAAGCATGTCCGTCCTTTAGCCTTTCTCTTTTTAAAGCGGAAAAAAAGGAGCAAGAAACAAGCAGCGATAAACTGGATGGTGCAAATTGTTTCAAGATAAATACTGCAGTGTTATGTCCTCACCGGTCTGCCTATATTCTCCTCTTTTCCCCAGCTCTCTGTCCATGAAGCAGAAGACAATCCCTCTGGTCATATTCTGGTCATGAAGGGAGCGCCAGAGAGAATCTTGGACAGGTTGGTCAATCAATAGGGGATCGATTATACGTCTCCCAAGTGAGGCATCAACAAATGTGTGCTCCTTTTTCATTCAATTTAATGTTATCCTCCTCTCCCAGGGATGTAGTGAAAAGGCTGGCGATATTTCACGTTTTTTGCATTATTTTTAACAACCCTATTAAAAGACTACATTTGGGTTTGAGCCTAAAAACAAAATACATAAGAAACAGTCGATGTTCCATCATCACCATGAAATGTGTAGTGTAGTTTTGAGTCGATTCTACATATACTATCCGGCTGTGAAATGACTCACTGAAGCACCATGTGTGTATTAATCCACTGGTGAAAATAGTCTCCATCAAATTCAATATTTACTCTTGGACAGCTGCTCCACAAAATGACGGAAGTCCCTATACGGCACGTCACACAGTGGGGAGATTGACATTGTCACAGCAAAGGCAACAGTGCGGACAAAAAGGCAAAAACAAGATTAGTAGAGTAAAATATTCAGAACTACGGAAGAGGTTTAAGGCCACAAGTGGGTTTCTTACATTTATTTTTTACTTGAAGTCTGAGAAAAAGCCTGAATTCAAAAAAGAAAAAAGTGAAATTTTCAAGAAAAAATATCTCACTTTTTCCTGAAAATCGCTGAAAGAAATATTCAGAATTGTGGGGGAAATTTCTGTGTAGCCATGCAGGAGGAGTCACCGACTCAAAAGGAGACACGGGGAGAGCTGGAGCTTTGATGGCAAACACTGATGGGTTTATTTGGAGCTTCGGCCGGAGAATTCACAAAACAAGTCCAAGAGCCAGAGGTTCTGACTTCACGGTAGAGTTGCCACGTCAATTCTGAAGAACTCTACCCCAGACCCATGTATTGAGTTCAGAGAGAATAATCAACATTGTGCATATCAAATCATAACACCTCTATCAGCTGACGCCAACAGGCAGGAACAGGGAGAGCCAAGGCTGCAGGTGCCTGTGCTCAGTCAGGACAGTATGAACTGATAAACTGGGTCAAAGTTATGGGCCTTGGAAAATATTTCCCCAACAAGAATTATTAATTTAATCTCAGAAAAATACTTATTTTAATCTTCCAATTCACTTTTGGTCAAATATTGTTTTTTAAATCACACGTGGTTCTCTTCCCTACAGTAGAGCATATCAAATAATGAGGTGGCGGCAGAAATAGTGCGTACACTAAATAAAAAAGTATACATTGCACACAGTTATTTCCTCAACAGTAGTGTAATTTTTTATGAAAATGAGAACAATATAGAATAACCAGTAATAACCAGTCCTATCATTAACATGCTTTTGGTATTGCACCATAAAGGTATTGTGGGTTTAATCACACTATCACACTCCAGTTTGGTCGTGATGTCACACTACAGATCCAAAAAACTCCTCATTGACTGAACTTTTTCCGTTTAGTTGTTTTACAGCAGTTATTTTATACATGTCTATACACACTAGGGATGCCAGCGATTATTCGATTTTTCGAATATTCGTTACAGTCTCCATAAT